TATATATATATATATATATATATATATATATATATATATATATTTATATATATATATATTATGACATAAATATTTAGCACTGTAAAATATAGTAAGAAATATAAATATATTGCAATATAAATAATTAAAAACAGTTTTAAAAAAAGTAGTTTTTGTCATGTGTCTGATTTTGTGCGGAATTTTTGTTGTATTTACCATTTTTTATTTATTATTTTTATAATATTATTACTATTTTCGTTACCGGTTCTCGTTAGATCACCGAAGTTAAGCATCATTGGGCGCGGTCAGTACTTGGGTGGGTGACCACCTGGGAACACCGCGTGCCGTTGGCAAATTTGGGACCTGAATGGCCGAGTGTCTAGCGCTCTGGCGCTCGGTGCCACAGGTTTCGGGTTCGAATCCCGGCGGTGCCATGGATGTTTGTAGTGGTTCGGAATCCACTTTAAGCCGTAGGTCCCGGTCTTCTATGACTGTAAGAGCGCCACGGAGCAAAAGTCAGGCTTCTACCTACGGGTGCTCCATCACAACAGAAGCTGCTTCCTTCCCTTTCAATCATGAGTCCATATGGGCTCGTGGGCTTGGTCAGCCAAGTGGGATAAGAAACAACAACAACACTATTTTCGTACTGTGTCTAGTACTAGTCTAGTGCTAAAGTACTCAATATGTTTCATAGTTTATAATTGAAAGATCAAATTCCTCATTTATCATTAACTTTATTTATTTATAGTTGCAAGCTTTATTAAAAGAAATGATTTAAAATAGATTAGACTTTAAATGGAAATAAAAAATTTCGATTACTTATGATTCCTTACTTTACTTAATCAAGTTACTTCTACTCATTCACTGTTCAATATATCTTATTTTGGCATTGATGTAGAGTATATATACATGTATGTCTTGTAAGAAAATAATAACCGCAATTTAAAAATTAAAAAAAAAAATAATGTTGCTTAAAGTGGTTTTTTTATTAATTTAAATATTTTCGAATATCCTCAATTTTAGATTCAGAATGTGCAATTATAGAATGATGTTATTTTTTTATTGATATTGGAATTTTTGTATATGAATATTTTGTGCATGTTATATACAAACAAATGCCAGACCATTTACTTAATTTGTCATTTTTTTAAATGCATTTTTTGAAACTGTATTTTAGGGCCTGAATGGCCGAGTGCTAGCGCTCTGGCCCTCGGTACCACAGGTTTCGGGTTCGAGTCCCGGCGGTGCCCTGGGTGTTTGTAGTGGTTCGGAATCCACTTTAAACCGTAGGTCCCGGTCTAATAGGATCACAGAGCGTTGCGGGGGCATTGTTACTCCGCGTCCGTGGCTTATCTTTAAGTTAAACGCGCCCCCTGGGTAATTCAAAGTGAGTAACGTCTGTGCAGCGCTTGCCTTAAGGTATCCAAGACCAAGCTGTCTAAGAGTTTTCCAGCTGCATTAGAAAGAAAAAAGAAATTGTATTTTTCGGTTAATTCTTTAAGATTTCATGATGACTTAAATACTAAAGTAAGTTTAGATAATATTGCATATTTTTATTATCTTCTTATATTATATTAGGTAGTTAATTGAATCATAGATTGCTAATTAAATTATTTTAATAGGCATATTTACAAGGTTTCATTATTCATTCAATTTATGAGAACTTGAAATGAATATTGAGGAATAGATACCAAACTATATGTCAGAAAATTCAAATGCTCTTATCTGTCCTACCTCAAAAGCAATCGCTGCCGAAATAGTTTCGAGGATTTTTGAGACTAGGAATAAATGCCCTAAGATATATCTTTTGTTGGCACGATCTGGAGATATATGATGGATGGGCTTCCATTTTTAGTATACTAAATTTGTAAATATACTATTTAAATATACTAATATAATCTATTTATATATAGGTATGAATGAATTCTGATATGATTTTTTAAATTCAATGTTTGTCAGACTTAGGATATATGAGTACGTAAAAAAGACTTTTAGAATAAGTAAAATAACCGATGATATAAAATTTCAGAAATAATGCAAGGCAGAAAATGTAATTAATTTTTTTAAATTAATTTGGCTTTTATACACCTATAACTGTTTAAATCCGTTTCAAAAGTGAAAAAAGAATAAGAGAAACATTACACTAAATAAAAGTGTTACAAGTTTTTATGTATCAAATTGGTGCAAGGAAACCTGGTTGTTGGTCCTATCGGTTTCGTAATTGATTAAGCTCAGTGAAAGCTTACACGTTTACATCAGGAACTGACGCGATACATCTATATATTAGAAACATTTCCAATGGATCAGAAATTAAGAGTGGAAACTGTAGATAAAGCTCCTGGATATTAAGTTTCTAAATTTTCAATGACTAAAAGTGGAGATGTACTGTAGCCTTCGTGGTGCATGATGGGTAAGATTGAATCTGACACATATCTACACCTCCAGTCGCATCTTAATTCAAGCTAAATGCATCTTCATTACAAAACAATTAGATAATCAAGCAACTGCTAAAAATGTATTACGAATGAATATTTATTTTTGTAATCGCATAGCCCTTCTGTTTAAACAGGAGATTGAAAGGATATCGATACGTTAATGAAATAAATATCTTTAATATATTAATTAAGTAACATTACAGATCTACCGCTCCAGTAGTCTGAATTCAAGCCAAAATGCTCTTCATTATAAAACAACAGTTACAGCTAGATATTCAATATGCTAAGAATTGATTACAAATGAATATTGATTTTTATAGTTAGGAAATATTTCTAATGTATAAATAGGAAATTGAAGGGTTTTTGATATCTAAATTAAATAGATATCTTGAATATATTGATTAAGTAACAATACAGCGATAATTTTTTCTTAGAACGTTAAAGCAAATTTCGTGTAGTCTTCTTGATTCCGAATCTGACACATATCTACAGTTCCAGTAGCATCTAAATTCAAGGCAAAGGGTTCCATTATAAAGAACAATTACAATTTGATCATCAAATAACTACTAAAAATGTATTGCAAATAAAAATAGATTTTTGTAATCGCGAATAATTTCTGATGTATAAATAGGAAATTTATGGGATTTCGTTATGTAAATGCAATAAATATCTTAAATATATTGATTAAGTAACAATACAACGATTATTTTTTTATTGGAAAGTTAAAGCTAATTTTATTAAAAATTAGAAACTTTGTTTCCCATGGTTATGAATTTGCTTTGTGTAACTTCAGTATTTTTATAAAAAAACAAAAGACATTTCGAATTAATTAAAAATTAAAGTAGGCCTTTTTAACTATGCTTTTATAAAAGCGATTTTTGGATAACATTATATTGTGCTATTTCGTACTAGTGCCAAATTAATTATCAAAACGCTACATAAAAACTCTGCATATCGAGTTTGTTGTAATTTGATTCGCATAGTAAAAATAACATATTTCAACTAAAAGTTCATGTGGGATGTTATGAAAAGGGTGAAAAAAGTCAACTGTTAAAAACTATTAAATATTATGGAAAAGATGAAATAGAAATTATTTAATTAAAATATTATTCTAAAACATTAAAGCCGGATAATTAATAAGAAATAATCACAAATATAAGGCCATTATCAGTTCAAAGTTGTTTGAAGAACAATGTATTTAAAATGTACAATCAAAATTCATAAATAAAAATAAACAATCGGAAACAACACATTTTCTTTTTAACAAATAACACCATTTTCAATATAGAAAGATTTTCAGGACTCATTTGACTATTATTCATTTGAATCTACAAATGTTCTTAAAAAGTACCTGCAGGAAAATTGAAGAATAAATATCACTTATTCGCTTTTTTAAGTGTAATTATTCTTTTTCTTATAATTAAAAAGCGAGTAATGTTTCCTTTTTAAAAATGGATTGATATTATCTAATGAAGGAAAAATTATTGAACCAATTTAATAACTAATGGCAATTAAAAATCGTTTTAAAACTACTTAATTAAAAAGTGAATTGTTATTGCAATAATTTTTAATGAAACTGGCTTTGAAATAATTTTAGTAAAATATACTAAAAAATTCTGAGTAATTCTTTTATCAACTTAATATATTTCTTGTGCAAGAATAAAAAACATGCAACAATATATACAGAATATTTTTTACAATAATTTTTACTGTTATTTCGCAATTTTTGAATTTATTTTAAAAAACATTTTTAACGAAAGTCTAGTATGAACTGCGCTTTAAAATTTTATTTTATATTACAATACATATTACTGAATATTAAATTTGAAATAAGTTTGATAAGAGTCATTTATGTTTAAATTTATTATCATAAATAATTGATATACAATGACCATCAACTCTAGAACGCAAATTGATCAGAAGCATAATAGGAAAATGGTGATAAATTATCATTAAAATGATTAAATACATCATCAGTAACAATTATTGAAATAACTCATAACTTAGCTTCAGTTATCAGTAATTATGAATGGCTTTCCATTTCCATGATGGAACCCTTCATAAATATTTTCGATAAACTATTAAGTGATTCAAATATAAAAAAATTTATAATACAGTAATTAATAAATCCTCATAATATAAAATCATTTAAATTTAAATGGTTTGTTCTCAAAATTCATTTACTTTAATTTATTATTATGTTTAATTCTTCCTTTATAAAAATGTGCTATATTGCATTACATTTTGTTACTATAACAAGTTTTCTGTAAACATAACGTGCATCATACTCTTTTATAAAATGTAACGTCAAAATTGTAAAAGATTTGGAGGTGTCAAATGTTATGAATTAAGTTAGAATTTATTCCGGTTTTGTGTGTGTGTGTTATATGTAATATTACTTGAAAAATTCGATGTTTAAATAATATTCAAATATTACAAGTTTTCCTATTCTTCGAATATCAAATTGAATGGAAGCGCTTTCAGAATGCTTTTTTCTGAGAAATACTCTTTTTTCCAAAATATCGTTTTCTTATTCTTAATATTGTAATATCCAAGTTGTCGCCCAGTGGTAAAGCACACAGCTACAGTGCCAGAGCTCTCAAATACGATATGCCTATATTAGACCTACAATAGTTTCAAGAAGAGAGCCACTTTCAGGTTTATGGGAACACTTTAATTTTTGTTTACAATCACTATATACATATGCACACAAATAATGTACTCAGGGCTGTTATACAAAGAAATTAAAAATTAATATAAAATTAAATTACAAGTGCACTATTAAATCACAAGTACAGTTCATTCTAAGTTCGATGATTTTCAAAGTTCTCCAGCCTACATCGAATCTAATTGCCTGGTCTGTGGCAAACCTTAGTTATCACACGCCGTGATAAGCGAAACCACAGGGGGTTCA